TACTTTCTCATAGGCCCTTTGGCCTATGAGCTGATCCATCCCTGCCCTTTTTGCGTGACTCAGCAAGTGAATTCTCATTCTTGTGATTCAAAAAAATTTAAGTGCTCTGGTCATTAATGAGGAAGTCTCAGGATATTTAGTTAAATCCCATCAAATTTATTTTTAATACTTCATTTAATTAATTAATTCCTTAATTGTATAGAACAATTGAATTAAGTGTATTTTCATTCTATGAGTTATGGTTTCCCCTCCCCAATACTTAGAATTGTCTGTCTTTTTCATTCTTATCCATCCAGAGAAAATAGAATCAGATCACAAAAAAAAATTTGTATGTGCCAAATTTCAAATGAAGCCATTTTTGCTCCAGATTTTTTTCAGAGATGTGTGATCAGGACTTTCTTTTTCCCCCTAGGAAAATCTGTAAAATTGTCACGAAACAAAATGGAAAGCTGAAGGTTTTAAAGGTTAATGTTTTGAAATTTCCTGTGTGTGGTATGGGAAGAGCTTTATCATTATTTGCAAACTTTATCACAGAAATTGCTGCAAATCATGCAATAACAATCCAGAAACAATTGTTTCAGTACTAAGTAGCATAGAATAAGAATAGCTTTATGCTGTAGGAGCCCTAGTTTTATTAAGATCTAGCTTGCTAGCACAGTGCAGAACTATTACATTTGCAAAACTGAATGAGCTGGTCAAAAGGCAGAGACTGGATTACTTTGGTGTTTCTTTTTTTCTCTTCTGCTCCCCTCTTTTCTCTCTGAGGAATTCTTGTACAGTAATTTTTAGCTTCAACTTAACCAACTATTAGCTTTCAACTTCCAAGAAGTTTTGATGGAAAATGCAATAGTTTAATTTCCTGTTAATTTCTACCAAAGTACGAGTTGGGTAGATTTTACAGTATTTTCATTATGAGTGTGATACTGTGATATCAGACTCTTAACTAGTATAAATCAGCATAGATTCATCGAAGCTATTCCTGTTAAACTCTTTCCCATCTTAAGAATGATGAAGGAAAAATATCTAGTGAAAGAAAAACATAATCTCAGTCAGAAAAATCAGAGAGGTAAGTATGTAGAAGAGGATGTAAAGTGTTTTCATTGGTATCTTATTAAATGAAGAGGAAAAAAAGAAAAATATCCTGTATTGGTTAGAATTTGGCATCCTGTGAATTTATTTCATTCACTGAGTACTCCTGGATTTGGATTTAGGATCATATGTTAAGCCTCATTCTTTTTTAAATATAATTTATCTTGTAAACTGTTTTTAAAGCATAGTTTCATGCTCTGTCAGAGTCTCACAATAGATTTTCTGTATTGTAAGACAATGTTTTTTCCCCATTATTTTTTAGAACTTATTTTGTCTTAACCTTTTATTTAAAATGTATATTCTGGGAAGTATTTGAGATTATAAGAAAAAGAACTATTCTAATGCTGTTTGTGTCCCTGACTGCATGTACATGATTAATTTTATTCTAATTAACTAGGCCATCTTGATTACACAGAAATGGCTCTGTGTTGGTCAATCTGTGGAGGGGCAGTGGCCCTTCAGTCAAGGGATAAGTTATGTTTTGGACTTACCCTCTATTATCAGACTTGAGGAGATTAAAGAGCCGAATTTATATTTGTGACAGGGCTACATGGACCAGCAATACTGGAGATGCTCCTTCTCTCAGCGTGAGCTAGCAGACGGCCTTATTCCTGGCCTTGGCTGCCCAGGCCAGGCGGGGTCGTTTGTACTGGCCCCAATCTCAGAGCCTGCAGGTAGCTGCACCTTGACCGAAAGTCAAAGGCGAGAAGGGGAAGTTCAGGACCCAGAGTAAAGGCAGCCCGGTCCGTCAAAGCCGAGCCGCTGCGGTCAGTAGTGGTCGCAGAGGTTTCAATTTCCGAGCCCGAGCTGCCTCCCTGCAGGGCAGGGGGGAGCCGCGAAACTGGCGGCTGGGTGATAAAGGCCGTTCCTTCCTTTCTCACTGGCATCAGGCTATTCAAATAAATAGGATGGAATCCTGGGCATTGCTATGAAAAAAGAAAAACCCCGGGGCATTGTTTTGATCGCTAATTCACGGCGAATGAAGTAGGACCTGCATTGCTGAGATTTAATCTCACGTACAATTTGATTAAAAAAAAAGATTTTCTATTTCGCACGCTCTCTAACAGCCTAAAACGGACCGCCCGCAATTTCCGCTCCGATGTTCGCACAGGGATGTCCCATGTTTGGTTTCGCTCCCGAGGTTCCCGGGCCCGCGCGCAGGGTGGCGCCGGCAGGTGGCGCTGTGGGCCCAGGCACGGCGCGCGCGCGGGCGGGAGGCGCTCCCTCCGCCGGCGGCCCCGCGCGGCCCGGGCTCCCCTTCCTTTCCTTCGCCTTCCTTCCCCCGGCCCTCCGCTGTTTTCGGTTTCTACAGATGTGCTCTTTTGAATGGTTTCAATAAAATTTTATTGCCGTCATTTGAAAAATAGTGGAATTATTGTGATTTGTGCAGCCTGGCAGAGGAGAGCCCGCCGGGGCTGGCCGCGACCGGTGCTCCCCGTTCCGCGGGCTCCCCTCGGGCATCGTGTACCCCACCGCGATTCCAACGTGCCAGGTGGCACTGGAACTGAAGCTTGCAGCCTTTCCTTTCTTTTTTTTTTTTTTAACCCCACAAGTAAAGTGGCCCATCGCGGTTCTGTAGGAGACTGTATCTATATTTTTTTTCAGCCCCCCAAACGAACCCCCAAGCATTCCCTGCTCCCCACAGGGGCCCACAGCCAACCTGATCTGGGCGGCGAGGGGACACACCAGGCTGGAGTTGGCTGCCTGGGAGTCTCTAAGCACCAGCGTGAAGTAGCAGACATTACAACACAGGCACGTTTTGTGAGAGGGCAGAAGTAACTCTGTGGCTAATAGTTGCTCTTTATACTGCTGCAAGCCTTCAGTGTTCCCGAGCACCCTTTTGAAGGCATACAGACATCGAGTACTGCAGGCAGATGTTATACGTGTCTGTCTCCATAAAATACATGACGCATATACAAGAGAGAGCCTTTCTTCATTTTTTTCTTTTTCTTTTTTTTTTTTTTTTTTTTTTTTTTTTTTTTTTTTTTTTTTTTTTTTTTTTTTTTTTTTTTTTTTTTTTTGTGTGTGCTTACCATATCACCTTGTCTCTCAAGGACAGCACATTGCTAAAATGCAGGCAGAGATTTATTGGAGGGACAAGAAGGACTTTACCCCTCCTGCTCCTCTCCCCGTCAGCTCACGTCTCCCACTCCTCTGCCAGTCTGGCATCCCCTATGCTCCACTGTGAGCTGGAAGAAAGCAAGCAGTATTACCCCCCCACCCTGTGCCATGGCTTGACATGAGGAATGTAGCTTGCTGTGGGAGAGAGGAGATGTACTTGCCCCAGAGTATAGGCACGTTGTTTCAGTCACCATAGCCACTCGGTTGCTTTCCCTGTCTTCCTTTCCCCTTTCTGGAATGTCCAGATAAACAACCTACGATGGAATCTGCACAGTAACAGTTTTCTTCCTTATAATGACTTGATACAGTGGATTCCATGAATAGAGATAGCAATAGTGACCTCATCATGAGATCTTGTAGGTACTCACATAAAAAAATAATAAATAAAGTCTTCAGAGTGCCTCAGTGTTGCTGTCATGCCTGCAGTATGCACTGCAGCTTCCTGCCAGAGGCTAGCTTCAGTTCAGAAGTACTGCCACTTCACCTGGAAGCCAAGAGTTGAATGTTGGACCCTACTTCTTGGCACAGTGCTGGGCCAAAATGACTCTACTACTGTTAATTTTGAAGGAAGTGTGGCTCTACTTGGCCTGTGTTATTACCACTGCACAACGCGGCTGTGTACCTACTGCTCAGACTGCTGTTTCTGTCTTGTTTAGAATTCCAGTTTCATGTATAACTTCAGAGAAGGGGATTTGAGGTCCTGAGTTACTCAGAAATCTTTAAAAGTTCCATCCTTAGCTTTTAGCTATCTGAATGGACTAATAATTAGTCAAAATCATTCCATAACTGAAATGGTGAGAGTGAGATACTGTGTATATTGAGTTGTTATCCAACTGGAAACTAAAATTCTCACCATTCTGTGAAATTCATAGTTAATGACTAATAATATAACCAGTATTAAAACTAACTTAATCTAGTCTTACAATGCTTGCAATAGATGGACATTCCTCTTCAGAGTTATTTTTCAGGGTGCTTATAAACATCACGGTCAGTTTATTCCATTTACTCTCTTGCTTCATGGTGAATAAGACTTAGGTAAAATTATCTGTAGTCAGTATGTGCCCATAGTATCATCCAATCATGTAAATTCAGGGGCACTATTTTTAATCAGACAATATAATTGGTACTAATCTTGAAATAAATGGTGCTCCTGAGAAGCAGGAGCTCCTGTCTTCTATGGAACACCATCTGTGTGGCTCATATGCAATCAGCAATATTTATATTAAATGCTATATATTCTGCCTCATCTACTGTTTGATTTCTTCTCTCATCCTATGAACCAAAACAGGAGTCACAACACTCGAGTTCTGACAAGTAATTTCTTCCCTCAGTCCATTATGCATACCTTGTTAATGCAGCTTTGTTCAACCCTTTTGTCAACCTACAGTGCTCATAGTACAGCCTATCTGCCCAGTGCAAGTTCTTTAGTTTACTTTCATTGTAATGCCTATAAAGCTTTTTATATATCCCCTTCATATCTTCTAAAACTTTGCTCTTTTCTCCACTTCATTGCAGTCATATGGATCTCACATTGTCTTGTCCCAAAATATCACATTAGATTATCTCCAGAAACACTGTTCTGCTTCTCATTTACTAGAAGACCACTTTCTTTTTTTTGCGCGTGTGTTTTTTTGTTGTTGTTTTGGTTTGGTTTTTTTGCATGCTTTTAAAAGGCAAAATTGTACTCTCTTGACTAAAAAAAATGAATAAAATTGAGCATACATTTTTCACATCGCCATTTTGCTAACAAATGTGCTTTTCTTGTTCTTTCTCTTTTCTTACATGGCAAGGGGTTTGTAAGCAAACTGGATGAATTCATTCACTGGTTAAATGAAGCCATGGAAACAACAGAGAATTGGACTCCTCCTAAAGCAGAGACAGACAGCCTTAAACTGTACCTGGAGACACACTTGGTAGGACAAGATTACACTATGATTACTATCAGTAATTGAAGTGTTCTGCTGTGCTTTTTATTTGATTATTATTTTTAATTACTAGTGTGCATCTATATTTTAATGTAAGATTTGCAGCATTACAGTTTATTTTAATGAAAATAGCAACAAATTATTTTCTGTATTTGAAATATGTACTGATAGCTTTGTAAAGATAAATTAAAAGTCAGAATTACATTACAATTCAGAATTTATCTCCAAAACTGAAAGAAAATGGCAATAGCAAAAGGAGAAAGGATAATGTTTTTTCTGCTGATCATTCTAGGATTTTTACTCCACTGTAACATTAACAAAAGTCTTTCTAGTGTGTAACTTATTCTCTCTCCCATATTTTTAACACACAGAGTAATTTAAATAAAAATTTGAAATAGTTAATAATTTTACTTGATGTACATTTCTGTCATGTAATTAATACAACTGTCACTAACCTTGTTCTTGTGCAAAAAGTTAAAAAACTGAGTGGAAGTAGAAAACATTTGGATGAATAATCTTCTGAATATATTGCAGGCTAGATTTATAGATTGAGAAATATTTGATAAAGCTTATGGGACTTTCACTGAATTCTTCTAAGAGCTGTTTCTCGTTATGAGGTGAAACAAAGAGCTGCATTAAATCAGGCATTAAGTCCTCAAAAGTAAGATTTAATGCTGAAGGTAGAGAATAGAGCTCAATGTATGCTGTTCAATGGGCAGGTGTCTTCACAGGTAAACTACTCTAGCTAGTAAAAGCAACAAAAAAAGAATGGAAAATCAAGCAAAGAGATTTTCTCTCATTCTGCCAAAATCTTAGGTTCTTACCAGTATGAAATGGAAGATACACAGTGATAACACTACCTTTAGCCAATGACCTAGACATCCCACCTAGATAAAACAGTACATTAACTGACCCACAACAGAGCATCAACCCCCAAAGCTCAGTCTCATTTCCAGTCTCTGATAATCTTATGGTAGAAAAGTATTTGACAGTCCCAGGAAGTCATGTGATGCATTGCAGGAAAAAATGTCATCCTAATCTCTACTGTAATACTGGAGTGACCATTATTAAATTAATTAAGTATACATTAACCACATATACAATTAGAACCAAATTGAAAACTGTCTTCAGAATTTCAACTACAAAGCAGGCTCTTGTGCCTTTTCTTCTTAAACAATTTCTGTTGTAGTAGCACCCAGGGGCAGTCAGTAAATTGTGGTAGTCTATCAAATGCAGTATGAGGACACTGCATTTTTGCCTTACTTTGTGGATTTTGGGGTTTGGGGTGGAGCTGTTTTTTTTCCTTGTGCTGCACACACTTGGTCCCATGATTCCCACTGTGTTTGCAGGTGCTCTGAAGATACAGAGCACGTTGTAAAATCAGACCTCAGAAAAGGCACTGGTCAATTTGTTTTCCTTGTACTCTGCAACATGAAACTTTTGTCAAGATAAGTTTTTATGAGTAGAATTGCAATTTTCACTCTTGACTGGATAAAAAGAAACATTTTACAGGAACAGGACAATCACCAGGCTGAGTACTTCTCACAGTTAATTTCTTTTTCCCTTTCTTCCATGGCGAGGAGCACAGTAGCTCATTTGTAGGCAAACGACTTCCAACTTTGCCATGTGGTTCTCTGAGAGGTGAGGCCAAACCCATCTATATCAGACTGGAATGTGGAACAGTAGCTTAGAGGCAATTGCTTCACTGCTAGAGGTAGTCTGAATAAATGAGTATGTGGGCACCTGTACAACCTCACTTTCCCTTGCCAGCACCTGGGTTCCCAGCTGCACTCTCTATATCTGCGTATCTTTGGGGCAAGAAAATCGTTATATGCTTCAGGATGACTATGTTATGAAACAAGTTGGGTTTTTCCTTTACTTCTCTGAAGAAATAAAATGTCTAAAGAGCAGTTCAATTTCAATTTGAAAATATTATAATTATTTTTATGGCATCTATAGTCAGTGAAAACCCACTGTATAACCTGAAAAAACATAACTCTGAGTTTTCTTTTTTGGATTTCAGAAAAGATATACTATCATACCAGTTTATACACAGCAGAAAAAAGAGCATTTTTATAGCAGGGAAGATAGTGATTTTTATTAATTAGATTTTCAGCTTTTCAGTGGCATTTATCTGTCAGACATCCTAATCTGTGTTTAAACAGAAGTGTATGAACTTCAATTCACATTAAACTCAATGTTGAAATTTCCCTTAGTCGAGCATTGTAAGACTGGTGATCAAGGTCTTTGTGAGGGACTTATACTTCACATTTTCTTCTTTTGCCAGTCAGGTTATACATGTTGTCGGACTCATCTAAGATCTGTTGAAGTAAAGGACTTGGAACTTAGAACTTTACAAGATAAGGTTCCAGACTTAGGAGTTTATAGTACAGACACTGATAACAAACTAACTTGGAAAACAATGGAAAACAAAGAAAATGTCTTAGTTCTTTTCTATGTACTGCATCTACACTAGCAAATCTCATAACTATGATTCCTCTCTAATGTAGATTTTCTCATCATAGAATAAGTGAAAAATCGGTGTAGATAAGTATTTTTATTAGTAGAGACATGGCCTTAGCCTTTGGCACAAGTTATCAATTTCACTACCTGTGGTAATTGTTTTCTTGGAAATATGTTTGTTGCGATAACAAAATTAGTGCCATAAAGAGAGAATATTTTGCATTCATGAGTGAAATCTCTTCTGTCAAAATCTAAGAAGAGGAGAACAGAAAAAATGTACTTGTTCCCTTTCTCATTATTGGCTGGGGAAAGTCCTGCTAAGGCAACAAGGACAGGGTTCTGAGCATCCTCCAAGTTTTTCACTTTGTAAAATTCTAGACTGTCATTTTAGGATTCCAGTGTAAACTGTTGATAAATGATTGAATTTTAAAGTCTCTCTTCACTCAGCCTTGCTTTTCACTATCTTTGACATTTTGAGAAATAGTGTGGCACAGACACTTAAAGAGATTGTGTTTAAAAAAAAGGCATCACAAGAAACCTACAACAAAACTTATTTGAATCTTTGCTCACATGAGGAGTCAAATCTCTTGAACAGGATGGCGATGTAAGTCTCTGTTAACAAGCATCATGGCATGACATCCTTCAGCTTAAATTGGTAGCATTCCCCAAACAACGTTGCTTAATTCTTTTATATGATCTGGCAATATTGTCCACCTAGGATGTTAATCAACACTTTGAAGCAGACGAATAGTGTTTGTCTATTGCTCTTGGCTCAGCAAGAGCTGCCTGCAGGCATTTCTGTAACTGTCTGAAGCTCCTGAAATAGTGAAGCACTTTGTTGTGAAGGTGGAAGGCAACCTCTCCTCAAGTTGATCCGTTTTTCCCAATTATATCATCTGTGCAGAGACTAACTGGAGAGTTCCTGGGTCACCCAGGGAATACATGACTAAATGCACTGTGTGCACAAAGGCACAGGCCTGATACCCAAATATGCTACAATTATAATTATTGACTGTAGGACAAATTGGAATTTCATTCTTAAATCACAGTTACAACTTAAACTCCATAGATTTTTCCGTGATGAGTAACCATACAGTTTGCTAAATAGCATGATCTTTTCCTATAAATTGAAAGGTAGTCTACATATTGAATGTGTGCCACAATAGGCAATCTTCAGTGTGGAGAACTTTTTCTTGCAAATTTTAACACCAAGTTCCCTGATGTTCTGCAGAACAGAAGTTGCTATATGCTTCATTTTAGATTACACCAAAGCACAAAGCTATAAATGAAAATGCTATCAGAGATCCATGGAATAGTGATTGAAATTATTCTTTCAATTTTACAGGTCTTCACAACTGAGTAACATCAGTTAAACTGATTTGGGAGCTGCGTGCTTCCCATTCATATGGAAGGGCTGACATGGAGCAGCCACCACTTGAACATCTGGCACTCTGCAGGCAGCCACCCAAGCCAGCAGATGTCGAAAACACTAATACGTTTTCATAAAACAGGGGTGTTTTTCAGGAGAAATCTACTTTCTCACAAAGGCCTCAGTCAGTCCTGCTAGAGAAAAAAGTGAGGCAGGTTTTGAATTTTGTGAACATTTAGGCTCAAATCCATTCCCAATGAAAAGATAACCTCATTTACCTTACCAAAAAAGGAACTTCTGAAAATGGTTTCTGATTCATTTTATCTTTTGTATCCTTTTCTGTTATGCTGATTCTTTCCCATTGGCAACCTGATCAAAATCAGCTACTAACAGACTGGTGGTATGCAAATCAATTTTCATCAAAAACAGTATCCTGAAGGCAGCTTATGAGCTAAAAGCATCTATCTAGGTGGTACTGCTGTGCTTGTGAAACCAAGCACACTTTCTTATCGGCTCGAGAGATAAGAATTCACCATATTGCTTTTGACCATTTTAGTTTGCTAAAACAGATGTTTAACTTTATCCCTGGCCGTACAAGATGCGTTGTTTTAGCACAGTGAAAGAAGTAAGCTAGCAAATGAGGAAATGTGAAGAACTGTTGAGGGAAAGGTTTAGACAAGAGGCACTATATATATTTGCTAAGGACTGAAACTTTTAATTCTGTAGTCTCAACTTTTTCCTTTGTTGTTAACACAGTACTCATTTTCTTGTTGCTACACAACTTCTAGTTTACACCATACTGTGGTGAACTCTTAGGTTTTTTTGTCCTAAACCATGTCTGTGTCTAGTATCATATTTAGAGCTGTGTAATACAAGACTTTTAAATGGGAACCTGCAAGTGAAAAAGATAATTTGTTGGAAATTCTTAAATCCTTCTTGCATTATGTTGGCAAACAATAATTTTCAGTAGAGAAAAAATTAATTAGGGAGAAGTCTTCTTAGAAATTTGGAATTAGTAGTCAGGCACTTTTGTTCTAACAGTCTTACTCTTAAGAATTTGTGTAAAATTCTGAAATCCTGAGTACAAAGAACAAAGAAGAGAGAGAGTAATGACAGATTTTGCATTTTTTCTTCAAAACCAGATAAAGAATGGTTT